CACTGTCGCTGCATGCACGGTCGGTGTGAGGGACTGCTGTAGAGTCAACCTCAAAATGCAAGAGAATATTGTGGCACCAGCTAATCAAGGAGGAGTCTGTCCTGCAAGTCAATGATTCGATACAATCAGCTCTCCATTTTCCCATTTGGTAGTATTTGTTAGTTCAACCTCAAACTTTATGCTCCCTGTGTGTTTGCTTGACGGTGCCCCCTTTGTAGGTGGTTAACAGTTAGCTTTTGTATCCTTGCTTCTTTCTGTATATCTGCTTCTATATCTCCTTGAATTCCAGACGGCCTCGGAAGATGGCCACTCACACTGAGCCTGATCCTGCTGGAGGCTTCTTCCTGTTAAAAGGGAGTTTTCCTCTCCCCTTTTGCTTCAAGCATTCTTGGTGTGAGTGTTTGCTGTCAAGTCAATCATTAGATGCAAGGTTTTCTAGCTAAGGTTTTCCTTAGATAGAAAATTCTCAACCAATCTGACTGTATTATCTGGTTAAATTGTCTCTGTAAAATGCCTTTTGATGACATACGTTATGAATTGGCACTATATAAATAAACTGAATTGAAATAGCTTAACTTTGTGACACAACTGAAAAATGTGAGACTACCCCATACAAATCAGGACATTAGGTCACCCAACTCTGCTATGACTTTATAGGGACTCTCACACATCTCTGTGTAATTTAGCATTATCTCTACCTTGCCTATAACCCTGTAACTCAAAAGAGAATTTATGGACCTGAGCACCAGTTTTCACACCGTGCTTGTTTATCTGTTTGTTTTTATTGCGCACAGAGGAGACAAGATTTTTGGGAGACATAATCAGCTTATGTTAGGCCAGAGTGAGCTGGCTCACCAGTTTACTGTACACACACAGCAACATACATCAGCTGGACATAGGAGCACACCAGCTGTGGTACCTGCTTACAAGGTCACTGCAAAAAAAAAGAAATATAATGAGCCAATTCAATTATATTTCGTTGGTAGTAAAACCGATAAAAACTAATCTGGAACTGAAGAGGGCTAAATTTAATTAGTCTTATTTTATTAATACAAGTTAAAACCATCGAAAGTTACAAAGTTAATGAGGTTTATGACAGCGTTTTGTAAAATAGCGAGTAGGGGAGCTAACTGAGGTTCCAAACATTAGTTTGTTACACCACAAAAGCATCACCCACAGACTTTAAATACAGTATATTTGTCATAGTTAATTGGAAAAATGTCTAAGTTCTTATTTCAGAGAGTTAAGAGATTATTACTAAACTTATATTATACTGAGCACTTATGTATTATATTTGAGAATCCATATTGTATGATGTTGCTGGTGCAGGGGGTTGCTGCCTAATGTTTGCGACTAGGCTTCAAGAAACATGTCATACTATACTAGTTTAGATAATGTCTGCCATTCCTAGCATTCTGTGAGTCATGGCGGGGAATCCTTCCCTACACTTTTCCCCGTAAACAAACTTAGCCTTTGATGGCTGTTTGTGTACACACATCTGCTATTTGATTGACAACACTTGAAATATGCTGAAGTAGGAGACCTAAGACAAAAATAAAAACTCATCTGAAAACGTGAATGTGTGGGTGTACATGTGACCTACTGTGGGAAACACAAACTTACAAAAAGGAAGTTGTCCTATTTAATAGATGTCAAGTTCCTGGAAGTCTGAGAGCAGCTTGTTACAAAAGATGAAATGTTAATAACATTTTGAGAGCAAATGTCCTTTCTAATAGGGATGCTATATGATATAATCGGCCCCCTATCGGTATCGGCCTGTATCGGCCTGAAAACTGAATATCGGACATCGGCCACCCCACCAATATTTAACCCGATATTTGATCAGCTTCTGAAATTCTAAAGTCTAAAAAAAAAAGAAAAAAACACTATTTCTTCCTCAAAAACTTCTTTTTTACAGACTTAAAAACTTCTAAAGACGAGGGAAAAAATATTGATACATTAAAATATCACAATATCTTCATATGCTGATATATTGCCATTTAAAAACACCATATCAATCTCTTTTACTAATGAAATATTGCTATACGTCATCGTTATGCTAACGAAATCCCCCGAAAATGTTGATATATTGACGCGGTATCGATCTATTTTACTAACAAAATCTCACAAGAATTTGCAAAATATCACGAGAGTTTGCAACAGAACGATGAAATTTCACCAGATTTTAAAAAGTAAAATAGATCGATACCGCGTTTTTAAAAATCTATTTGATATCAGCATATAAAAATATATTTGAGTATATTATTTTTCAAAGTGTCAGAATGGATAACAAAACTGCTATTTTCAATGACTACTTATTTTTGTCCAGCTTTAACATCGGTATCGATATCGGTTATCGGCTACATGAGTTTTAAAATATCGGCATATCGGATATCAACCAAAATCCCAATATCGTGCATCCCTACTTTCTAATACACAAAAAGCATAAACACAAATGCACTAATCAGTGATTCTGATCTGTTTGGAGGTTACTTATGATTTTTGCATTACTTTAGGAGGTGGGAACAAAGATATTCACAGTATTTTATATGAAAGCATTTCATACACACAACATTTCATAGGAGCTTAAAAAAACACATATCTATCTATCTATCTATCTATCTATCTATCTATATATATATATATATATATATATATATATATATATATATATATATATATATATATATATATATATATATATATATATACATATATTTATTTATATACACACACATACATATTGTCTTACAAATGATAAACTACCTGAAATCTTAAACCACTCAAGGTTTATATAAAACTACTCGGTGCCTGGTTTGCAAACTTGTGGGAGAAGTTCAGAAAGTGGCACTACTAATTATTAGGTTTTGGAAAGTAATCTTGTTCAAATATCTTTTCCATTTGATAAAATCCAAACATCATTTCAAAACTATTCTTTTTACACTAGTCTATTTTATACTAACGTTTTCTTGGTTCTCTGAAGCACTTTAATTAAAAGCAATTAATAAAAAAAGCAAAAACTGGATAAGTCTGTAGAGGAGTTAACTTTTCAATGCTGTTTTAACTCAGCGGAGTTGAAATGCACCAAAATAAACCTGTGTCGGACATCTGATGCATACCTCTGTTTCTAAAGCTGTAATAGAAAATAAATGCTTTGAGACTATCTTCTTGCTGCTTCTTTACCTAAGACATAAAGAATATACCGGTATACACATCTAAGTGCTATTCCGTTTATTCTGTTTTTTTGGGAGATACATTCAAACTTTTGAATCCCCTTTACTAAACAGCAGTTTGGGCTAGAACAAAAAAAAATGTTAAATAAAAAGCTTTAGCAAAACTTTGATTTCATTATAAAGAAGAGCACTGGAACATTTACGGTCATAGGAAAGAGCATGGTGAATGCTATGTTTTTATTTGAGTGTGAATGTCTCTCTCACCCTCATTTTAAACTTGACTAAAACATCTTTCTTTTTTCTAACCAAATCACTATAAACTGTAGCCTTGTGCCATGGACATCAACATGCAGCAGTATAATGCAGGTTAAGAGTTTGCAGGTACATCAGAGACAAATGTAGTCAAATCATAACAAAGTCACTTAAAACTGCTCCTTACACACATGGAAAAAGATAAAGAAAACCAGGCCATATTAGTCTTTGAACTTATATCACTGTTGTATTGCTAAACCATGAACCTAATTTATCACCTGATGCTCATTGTTAGCCTGACGTAGTCCTACTCAATTCTAGTCAGAATATGAGTCTGATACTGCTCCATAGAGCTGTGATTATGGGGCGTGTTTTGAACGGACCAGGAAAAAAAATGCCTCTGCACTCAATTGGATAGACCTACAACCAATAAGAGCAACGGAGTGTGTGACGTATCTTAAGCGAGGCATAGTTGTTGTCAACAAAAATCAAAGCGTGCAGTTGCTCGCCTAGAATAAGAAGATGAGCTGTGATCAAGCTTCTCTTCTCCTCTTTTAAAATTAATTTGCTGTCGATATCTTCTAGAACAGACCTAATAGCAGAATCTACTCACCTCAACTCTCTGGCGGCAGCCATTGTTGTTGTCGCCCAAGCGCGCTTTGGTCACGTGGTTGATTACGTTACTGTTGATCATCTGTCCATCATCGTATAAAGCCCGCCCTGACAATTTGATTGGATCGCCAGAGGGTGGGCGATCATACTCGCGCTACTATGGAGCAGAGCCAGACCGAACTTCCCGACCTCAAACCTTGTGGGCGGGACTAAGTTCGGAATGGCACCCAGGCTAGCTCATTGTTGCATATATGCAACAAACACTTTATATTATGTACACAGCCAAGAAAGCATGTGCACTCCCTCAGTGCTAGCTATTACACACTCAATCTGTAGTGTTAATTGAAGTTAAAAGTGGTTCTTGATAAAAGTGAACTGGAACAACCCTTGTTCTTTAGTCATTCAGCTATGTGCCGTTTACAGTTACCACATTAAACTGCAATACTGACGAATGTTGAAGACATCTCGTGCATGGCTTAAAAATATTTTGTGAAAGGGGCAAACTGATTTGTTTTTCAAAAGAATTATTTTTGCATGTTTTCATCAACCTAAAACTAAATATAGGGGAAAAAAATCCACTGATAAAGTGAAACCAGATGCTTACTGTATTCTTTTTCCCAAATAATACTGAATGTTTGGTTAAAGACTGTCAATACATTTACATATATGTGTCATTGGACACAGAAAATAATAGTTACTATTTAGGCAAAAATGAAAAACGTTTTTCAGTCATTTTAATGTGGTCAGCAGCAAAAAAGATTTTTTATACATGTTGTATAAACTTTCCTTCTCCCATTTTTTTGTTTATTAGAGAGTAGATGATTTTTGTAGAATATACAAACAGCAGAAAAAAAGATTAGCGGTTAGTTTAGGAGTTCAGTTTTTAACACCAAAGCTAACATGATGATTGTTTTCCTCCAGTTATAGTTGATCATAAAAGGTAAAAGTACAGATAAAACTCACCTGTTTTTCAATTGATGGATGTTTTTTCTCAGGTCCTCTGAAGTTTCTTTGGCCTTCTGAAGGTCAGTGCCCAAAACACTATATCTCTCCTCAGCACTCTTTCCCAGCTCTTCCCTCTGCTTTCTCAGTTCTTCCACTGCCAACTCTCCCAGCTCCCTTCTAAGCTGTATTTCCCTCTCTTCTGTGATTTTCTGACAGCCCTCTTCCATCTCCTTCCTTATTCTCTCAGATTTTGCTTCAAACTCTTCTTTCAGAGCTTTCGTCATGGCCTGGTTCCTTTTTTCAAGCTCTTCTCTGACCATTTTCTCCCTTACATCAGCTTTTTTCTTCGTCTGCAACTGAAGCTCCTTCTCCCACTCCAGCCTGTTGAGTTCCAGTGCCTCATACTGGGCCTTCTCCTTCTGGGCAGTCTTCTTCGCTTGCTTGAGCTCTGACTCTAACTGAGAAAGCTGAGTGCGAAGCTGATGAAACTCATGGAAAACCAAGTAGCTTACCCCACAGTAACGGCACACTGTCTCCCTGCGCTCCATCTGAGGAGAAAAAAATACAACTTCTTAGATATCTTTTTTAGGATATCTTAAATAATATGCATAACTCTGAAGATGTGGTGTGGATACCTTACAAGTAAATACATAACACTGATATTTCTTTGTTGATGTTGTTGAATAGACATAGAAAAGACCAACATTTTGGCTTAGAAGTGAAAACATCTTCTGATAGCTACTCCCAGCAGGATAATGCACCATATCAAAATGCTTTGATTATTTGAAAATTGCTTTAGATTATATGAAAGTGTTTTTTTAACTCTAATTTCTCCCACAGTAACCAGATCACAATCAAATAGAGCTTAAATATGTGGCAGAACTAAGATTTATACCATAGAGATTGCTGGCAACTATAATGTCAACATAGAGCAAAAGCTTACAAGAAGATTTCCAACAGGTTGGTTAATATGTGAAGAATCCAGACAGTTCTGAAGCCCAAGGTAGTGCAACCTGGTACCAGAGAGGTGTAACTAATAGGGGCAGAGTATATAACAATGTCTGTTGGCGAGATGGAAACCTCAACATTAAAGTGTATAGGAAATCCACTCACACAGACCAATATCTTCTTTTTGACACACACCACCCATTGGAACACAATCTTTCAGTCATCAGAACCTTACAACATCGGGCTAAGCATGTCCCTACTAAAACAAGGGGAAGCACAAAGAATAGAAACACATCAAAGATGCTCTTCAAACCTGTGGATAAACTGGGCGTTTGTCAAATCAGCAAAGAAATCCAAAAGACACACAGTAGAACATAACGGTGACAAGAATAACCTCTCAAAACCCACCGTTTTAAAGCGTTTACAACTAATAACTCAGAATGCATGAAAATTACAGCGGTAAAATGTTTACCAATATAGACATGTTAGACATCGCTGGAAAGCTTAGATTCTCCAAAATTCAACCACCAAGTTCATTCTATGGACACAGCTAGCACCAAAGCACAATTAATACAGATATAGCAGCATGTGAAAATGTAAACATGACAAAGAAGCCACAACAAGCAAGCATTTCTTTTAGGGCTGCAACAACGAATCGATAAAATCTATAAAAATCGATTTTTAAAAGCGTTGGCAATGAATTTTATCATCGATTAGTTGTGTCGCGCGATTAATGCATCCGCGGCCGCCGTCATCACATCCACTTGACTGAAACAGGGGAAGAAAAAAAAATACGGCAGAGCGAGCCAGCGACTCAGGGCGCAGTGTTACCAACTCAGCGACTTTTCAGACCCCTCCAGCGACTATTTTTTTAAAAAGCGACTAGCGACAAATCTGGCGACTTTTTACGGTGTCACTGGCGGCTTTTGGAGACTCTTACGTGAAAGCATGCATCGTTCCTACTCTGCCGTGGGGCGCCTCCCCCACCCCAACCCCGTTCTCCCTCCTCCCGCAGGAGTCCCTCTCAGCGCTGCGGTCAGAGCCGCAATAAGTTTACCCTCAGCGTCCAGACTGCAAATGAAGCTCGCATGCGCCGGGATTGACGGCGCAAATTGATCACAATAATTAAAATAGCCTGCGCTTTGTAAAGTGAAAAAAGTCGTAACATGCAACTTTTGTCAAAACAAATTAACATGGCACGGAACCACCATGTTTGTTTGGTTTTAAAGTGGGGAAACGTAACGTTAGTTTCTCAGGTAGCTCATCTGATGCTTTCCTTACCTTGTTAGTAGGTTACAGACAGTGATAAGGTTGGCTACTTCTTTTACTTTTAATTTCATTTGAATTAGCTTAAGCAGCGTTTATATTTACTTTATAAATAAATTAACTTGCAAATTATGAGGGCAAGGCTTTTAAAGTTTAAATCTTCTGGCAAAGATAAAGTAAAGATCCTGCAATTTATGGAAGTAAAGCAGAATAAAATCCAGCAAGATCAGTAATATGTCAATTAATTATATGCCACATTTCCATGTAAATATCTGTTTTTGGAGGATGTGTTTTTTAGCACCCCTAGTTCTCTAATTTTTATTCCAAATACAATTTATAATTTGAATCACAGTGCTATTTTTATCCCTATGGTTAAGTATTTTCTCAAGTAGCAACTTTACCTGCTATACTTTCCTGTCTTAAAAGCCAGAACTCTTCTAGTCTAAAAAAACTAATTTGTTGAAATGGGGGGGCCTATTGTTTGAACCCCTTAGGGGCTTTAAAAAACAAAAATGTCTTTTTTTGCGCTTTATGAAACAAACTACCCTATATTTTGTGGATGTACAGCTACATTTCTCATGTAAGTTTGCGTAGTTTTAACACTAACATTTATTTTTCATATTGCACCAGTACAGTTAAAGGAATAGTACACCCAAAACATGATTAGCCTTCATTTTCTACTCACCCCCATGCTGAACAACACTCTGGAGTACTTTTTTGATATCTCCAATGCATCTGGAGATCTGGGAGGCTTCTTGCTGTCTGCTGACATTCAAATAATGGAGGTCTATGGTGCCCGAGACAGAAAGATCCATAAAAGTCCACAAAAAACGTGTCAATATTCCTCCATGCTGCTCGTCCAATGTATTTCAAGTGTCCTGAGTGGGTAGCATCCAGAATTTACTCGAAACAAAGTCATTTAGAATGTTTTTAGAGCATAAACAGTAGTGTATAGGATTTCCTGAAAGCGCGCGCCTGCGAGTTCACGACGCTACGGAAACCGCGGCAGACCAAACCAGATGAAAGTGCGCATTCAGCTCGGCAAAGAACTCATGCTCTTCCTCAACACTGAAGTCCTCAGACATTTTTCTTTCCTTGTTTCTTTCTTTGCACATGTAAACAGCACATTTCTTCTTCTACGCTTGCATTATCGGCAGAGCAGACGCTGAATGCGCACTTTCATCTGGTTTGGTCTGCCGGCTTCTGTAGCGTCGTAAACGCGCAGGCGCGCGCTTTCAGGAAATCCTATACACTACTGTTTATGCTCTAAAAACATTCTTAATGACTTCGTTTCGAGTAAATTCTGGATGCTACCCACTCAGGACACTTGGAATACATTGGACGAGCAGTATGGAGGAATATTCACACGTTTTTTGTGGACTTTTATGGACCTTTCTGTCTTGGGCACCATAGACCTCCATTATTTGAATGTCAGCAGACAGCAAGAAGCCTCCCAGATCTCCAGATGCATTGGAGATATCAAAAAAGTACTCCAGAGTGTTGTTCAGCATGGGGGTGAGTAGAAAATGAAGGCTAATCATGTTTTGGGTGTACTATTCCTTTAATGAGCAACCTGTATTTGTGTGCTTGTTTGTTCTGTCTAAAATGTTTATTATGGAATAAAGAGGTTAATATAAAAAATAGTTTTTGTCCGATTCATCGATTAATCGAAAAAATAATCGGCCGATTTATCGATTTTTAAAATAATCGTTAGTTGCAGCCCTAATTTCTTTATTACTGCTGTTCAAAAAAGACCTATTATTTTCGAGTATAAAAAAACTATGAGTCATGTTTGAACTGATGCAGCTTGGACTGTGTTTTACTCACCCAATTTTCAATTATATATTCAGAAACCGTAATTTGGGCTTACAGTTCCTAAGTTATTTGCTTTTCCATTTGGGATCCAAAATCTGCGAGAATTTCCAAAAACGAGGTGGATGTTATGCAAAAACATCTCTATCCCATACGTTGCTGGAGTCTCTGTAAAACTCAAGAGGATTTTCTCCAAACACAAAATCCCAGTACATTTCAAACCTAACAAGACCCTTGGAGAGAGAATAGAGACTATTTTAATTCTCAAATGAGCTTTTTTTTCCAATTACACTTTAAAGTCCTTGATTTTTTTTGGTTTGTTTTCCAAGTGAATAAAACACTGAGCTGAAACTAAAATATTCGGAAACATATATACTATGACTATACATAAATATATATCTATATATATTTTTTGTTTTCACAGAAAATTGCAGGTACCGGTATTTATTGTTTAAATCTATTCCAGATGTTGTTGTCAAAACAATATCTTACTGTCAGCAGTTCAAAACACAGAAAAGTAAATCCTCTAATCCCCACTTCACATATTGTCGTCGCCCCGTCTGTTGTTTCCCAAAAGATTTATCATTCTCTGTGCGTGTCAATGTACTCCCTCCAAGGACCTGTCACTTCTATCTGGATATCAAGGAACAGATCCTTTCCCTCCAGCTTTCATCTTCAGGTTGATACAGTACAAGGCGCAGAGACAGCTGATGTGTGCTTGACGTACCGACAGCTTCCATGTCAGAACCTTCCATGCAGGCATCCACATGATGTAAACACAGTCAAATAAACTAACAAACAAAGCTGAGATGATCATCATTTTTTCAAAGGTCTTACTTTTAACATTTTGTCAGCAAACTTTTAACGATGAAAATAAAATAAAAAACTGGTGTATACATTGTTTTTCAAAGCATACAGAACGATTATTTTTTTAATGAGAATGCCTCCAAATAACATGTGAGACTAAATGCGCCTACCTCTGACTGTCATGTATATTCTATCCTTTGGTTAAATAAAGGATGGAAAGATTTGAAGCCAATGGAGATGGAACAAACACAGAACCAGAAATCATTTAGTCGGGAGAAGTGAGTGACAGGTGACACAACATGAGGCATTGTTCCATCTCTGCACCCATCACATTAACTTCCCCCATCACACGTTGAAATCCTTCCACTGTCTCTGTTAGCAACTTGCCAATCTATATCAGGAAATAAGGCCCATTATGTCTGTCGCTTGTCTAAGAGAGCAGCAGTCTGTCTTCCACCAACCATGGCTGACAAAACGACATGAAGACGAACCGCAGATGTTATCATTTAGAGAATGTCAATTTTTTTTGTCAAGTCATTCAAATTAAACTACAGCATGTGGTTGCACAGCATTGAAGCTCATATGATGGCATTATTATTGTTAAATATTTTAAAGGGGATACCATCACAATAAATCAGGATGTCAATCATCTCAATCCTCCTATTCTCATCATTAACTACAGCGCAAAAAGACCTTCTAATCCTCGTATCAGAGC